GACATATACTGATCTAATCAGTCTTACCTTTGGAATTTATGTTTTCCAATTATTTTGACTTAAATGGTGGTCATACAAGTTCTTCGGGGGCTGGGGCTTTTGTTTCTCTCATTGCTATCTCCCTGGGAAATAGAATAGTGCTTGGTGCAGATTAGGCATTTGTTGAATGAGTGTAAAATATTAATTAGTTACATATACTCAGAAAGCATCATTGCTGGAACCCATATTAAAAAAATGAAGTCACATACATAATTGAGTACATTTAATATAAAGTTTACTACCAGTACATTACTGCTACTTCAGGAGTCCAGAAGCTTGTCAATGAGAACGTACCATACTTTCGTGTTCTTTTTTTTCCTTCTATTCTCCTGGATTTGTTTTGTTTTGAACTTTTATTTTGCTGTAAAAATACACAAGACATTCAGCAACGTAACTTCCACATTTACAGCTCACTTTCATATGGTTTTTGAGTAGAAGAATTCCTTTTGTGTAATTTCTGCTAGAGTTGTTGGTCTTTAAAAAGCCCTGATGGCTCAGCGGTTAAGCACTCAGCTGCTAACAGTAAGATCAGTGGTTGGAACTCACCAGCCACTCCACGGAAATAACGTGCCAGTTGCTTCTGTAAAGATTACTAACAGCCTTCGAAACCCTGTGGAGTAGTTGTTCTCTTTCCTATAGGGTCACTCTGAAGTTGGAACCGACTTAATGGTGATGAATGAAGTTAATGACAAAACTAAGCCAAGAACTAGCCATCTTAGGTTATCCATGGCAGACACTTAAATGTTTACTAGAGCTGACTTAAAGGTGGGGCAGACAGATTTTGCTCCAGTCATACACATACTCCCATTATTTATATCCATTTTGTTTTGCTTGATTACCTTAGTTCCTTAATTTTAATTAGATTTTTCTTGAGTTTTCTATAATGAAGACTGTAATCTTTTTTTTTTTTTCTTTAATTCTCCACAGGATCTAGTTCAAGACCATCTTCTTTCTCTAGTGAATGTTAATTGACTTAAGTTGATGGTACTGCCCTAAGTATAAATAAGTTGATGTTTATCAGGGGACCTGGCTTAACTCCATAATTTTCAATTATAAATTATAAAACAATGAATGGCTGCCTCATTGGTTCAGACTGAAACTGAGCCACTTCTTGATGTGATTCTTCTGTGCCACTCCTTGGATATCTATATGTGCGATTTATAAACATTTTTGGAGGTCTTACCTGCAAACATTTTTGGTACATATTGGTCATCTTGCCTACTTCTACAAGTAGACTTAGGACTTGTTTTGAAAGGTGAGTAATGGGGGCAGTTTTCCTATTTTATGTATTTGTAATTGCCGGATTTTCTCTGCTGTTTATATATTGTTCTGATGTAATTAAACTCATCTAAAATTAGACCTTTTGTAAATAAATATATTAGAAAAAATGGCATTTATTAAACAAACAGTTCGGATGTGTCAACTTTTTTAAGCATCTCTCAAAGGCAGTAGTTTGAAAAGAAACAGGAAACTAACAAATTAGTCCTTTTGTGTGAACTGTGCTGACAGCGTATTCATCTTTGCAGACATTTAAATAATAAAAATTTGAAAGTGAATATATTAGAGTTGTTTTTATTTACCAAATATTAAAGTTAATGTTTGTGACTTGTACAGCTAGTATTAGAAAGTAAAGTATATCTTCCAGTGTAAAATTAAGCAGTTCTTCAGAGAAGAATCTAGTATGTTGAACCAAAGCAGAGTTAGTGATGAGGATCAAATCCTGTACTGAGTATAGAGCAAAGAGAGTCATTGGGCATTGCAGTGGTTTTTTTTTTTTTTTTTTTTAATGTTAGAGAATTGAGAATGAAGGAGTTGGTACTTAATTCTGAGTCAGTGACAAATGTCTTAAAATGGAGCTACTGGCATGTAACACCCTAAACCTAAATCTATCTGTCCCATTAGAACCTGCTGCTTTGGTTGGGTTTGAAAACATTTCTGAATTTGTGCAATTTCAGGGTTCCTACTCTGTTAGGCATTTATACTGACAGAAAACAAACTAAAGATTCTTACCAACTCCAGAATTTAACTTTTTCATCTCTTATAAAAGAAAGCTGTAGTGATACTGTAGTCAAAGAGCACTGAACTGGGACCAAAAACCAAGACATGTACAAGCTCTTTCACCTACTAGTTCGTGAGCTTGGGCAAGTCAATTTTACTGAGTCAGTTTCCTCATGTATTCAGTAGTACTAATATATTTTCAAGCAAATAACGTGTTTTTCCCTAAAAAACTGTGTAACACCCTCACATAGTTGTCTGTGTTTCATTTAAGTGTGCATGTTATATATGAAAGATAGGGTAGTATCTACCTCAGGGGTTTGTTGTGAGGAATAAAGATTTTAATTTACATAATCTATAAACAGCAAAGTATGACAAAAAGCATGGCTATGGTAAAAGAGTAGCCATTCATTCCAAGTTTCTTAAATGACTAATGTGCACCGTTCTAAGTTTGTTAAGACCTTTGGAAGGTTTCCTGAAATGAATTACAAATTTCCTTGCTTTCATAAAAATAAATATTATAAACTTAATGACTTAGAGTCATCATTACAGAGACTAATGTGTGCAGTGGTGGCCTGCAGATGGCCTCCAGCTGCCTGTAGGTACCTTGCCAACCAATGTAGATAGTAGATTCAGGGTTAGCTCTCTGTGTTTCACACATACCTATCTGTATATGCAAAATACCCTAATACTTCAAAGTAGGTTCAAGGGGTGATGTCTCAAAAAAAAAAAAAAAAAAAAAAAAATCCCTAGAAGCAGTAAACTAGGATTTGGGAGCTGTATCCCTCACTATCAAAATCTATTTAGTTCCTGTTTCATACAGTAAGTGGTTAAGAGTTAGTATAGGAAGAACTTATACCTAAAATGTAGAAATATATTTAAAGTTCAGTGAGCAAGACAGCTGTTTATAGAAGGTAAAAAGGTCTGCATAAACTGCTTAAACCCCCTAAAATGTTCCCTTAATAGACGACAACATATTACAAGATAGTAGTGTAAATAGTTTATTTGTTCATATGCCATGAAAAGACCAGAAAAGTAACATGAACTGCTTTTATAAAACATTCCTAATAATGCTAAGAAGCAGGCCCATTAATGAACAGAAAAGAATATGCCAACATTATTGTGTATTTGGAGATTAATAAATAGGTGATTATTTTGAAATATGCATGTCAGCACTGAACTTTGGAGAACAGCTGCTTTGTGATAAAGGTCAGACTGCTATTTTCATCAAAATTAATGTTTAATCAACAGACAAAATCTTGGCATATTCTTTTTTAAAGTACACATTTATGGAACTGTGCCAGCAGGTGACAGTTTGAAAGTAATCTTTCTGTAAATAGGTATGCTAAAGTGAAATGTGGTAACTGATCCCTAAACTGTCCTTGTAGTTAAATATATATATATATATTTAAAAAAAAAAAAAACTATAAGTTAAAATAACATTCAGATTGTATAGCATAGGCTGATGCATTTTTAAACAATATTTACAATATTACCCAGGGGCTTAGGTGGGAATTAAAGAGAAAGGTAAAAACCATAAAAAAAAACTGCACCAATTTTATAGCAAAATATCTGTACATTTAAAAAGATCATATAACTACATATCCAAAAAGAAAATGGGACTCTTCACCAAGGGGCTCACATAAAGCACAACATAAAATAGGAAATTCAGTGGTTAAATACTATACAATAAACTTTACAATTAATAGTTGATGTAATGAACCAAGAAGGTAAGTCAGAAGCAGAAGGTGTATTATGAAAAGTACAAATGTAGCTTCAGTCCAGTTTTTTAATTGGGAATGAATCAAGTGCCTACCAGACAGGAAAGAAAATTAACTGGCTTAGTTGGCCATTTTGTCCCATTACATGTCACTTAAGCTTAATTCCAATGTGAATATTCAGCAACTTCATTCCAATTCCCCATAAAGTAGTCTGGGAAATAGAAGACTTTTAATACAGATGCCAAACATATCTTCAGTTGGGAGGGGGGTAAGGGAGGGTCCTGCGATTGTCAGAGGAGAATAAGGCTAGATTATTAACTTTGCTAGCAGATGGAATCTTTAACACTTGTTTACAGAGCTAGTAAACTTCTCCCTGGCTAGCAAGGCACCAATTTCTATTCTCAGAATTGACCATTAATGGTCCTCAAATACCCTAACACTAATTACTGAGATGTTAATTTTAGTGCTAATTAATAAATATTTTTGCATTATTTTTAAAAGCTGCCTATAGCTGAAGAACACAGTACTGCAAGTAACTCTTATACAACTTTTTATGTCATCATAGCCTTGCATTCATACCAGCAAATGTCTCACACAGGGGACATCGTACTCTAGCACAGATGCAGAATGTGAAACTGGAGAAAATGGTTGAGTGACTTCCGTGCCACTGCAACTGCATCCTTTTTGCACTTGGTTATGGTCAGAAGGAGAAGTTTATCATGTGGTTATTTCCTTCTTCCATGTTGCAAGCCCTTAAAAATACAAAGTTAATGGGTATGGCTGAAACAAAATTAATTTCTTTTAAGACAGCTCAGCAATGGTAGCCCACAGCATGTGCATCCATGTTATTTACAATTTATCAGGAAACCAGGGTGGGCCATCATAGGACAATGACAATGAATGTAATATGAAATTTACATTTTGGTTAAAAAAAATGAGTAACATTGGTTTAAAAATCAAATCCTATTGCTTTGATTAATCTGAGCAGGTACTTCCACTTTTAGGCACTTGTTAAGGGTTGAAAGGAGAGCCCATCATTTTTAATATTCTTATATGTATTTGCTAAATCTGAGCCCTTAATATTTTATTTGTGTTCTAAGTTGTCATTAAATAGTAACATGTTCATGTGGACAATTTCACGCACACCCTCTATTCACATAGGCAGGTCTTGAGCTCACATCATTATTTCGGCACCATTAACAGAACGCAAATTCTGATCATCAAAGCGCCGCCTGACACTTCTCCTCACCGCATCGGCCCGTCTGTATGGCTGGTTTCTAAGATCTGTAAAAAGGAGAGTACCAATGAGAGAATGGCAACCTTTAATGTTTTGTGTCTAAGCAAGACAAAGGCCAGGTCGCAGCCAATCAAAGCAGCTTGTGTAGAAGAGTCAGCTACTGGGCCCTTAAAACTCATTGACCATTGTACCAAAGATGTGATTTTGCCCTCAATATTTATAATCAAAATAGGATGTAATGCTAGTGGGCTTCTGGCACTTTTTGGTGATAAAAATACATAGGAAACTATTTCTATCGCAGACCAGAGAAAGTCTACCTTAAAGACTTATTTCGAACTATTTTTTCAATTGGAAGTAGGTAGGGCTTAGTCCCTGCTGCTCCCTCACCCCTCAGAAACCAAATTTCAATAATTGCCATCAATTTCAAACTAAAACTAATAAACTGCCCTGCCCTAACTTATCCTTGAAGTTTTGATAAAGGAAGGAAACTCGGATACTGGTTATATAGGTTCCGGTTTTTCTCTCCATTAAGTTAGCTAAGTTGCCTTTTTATTTTGTGAATTAGAAAAACAACACTTAAATTTGCCATTAAATCTAAACAAAAATAATAATCCCTTACCACCCAATATTTTTTTGTTTTTCATTAGAGGAGTGAAATATGGGCCTTCCTGCATTCTCTAGTTTGTATTGTGAGTGCAAAGCAGAATATTTGACATAATAATAAAACTTGTTAAATTAAACCCCATTGATTTTTTTTTTTTTTTTTTTTTTAATACCTTCACCTACTCAGTAGGTTGAAAATGGAGCTGATGGACTATACCTGCCTATGGAATGCTTGGCCTCCCTCATTTTAAAAAGTAGTTTCCTGGTTTTTAAATTGGTTATCAACTTTAAACAAAACCAAAAAAGAAAAGAAAACACCCAGATTCTGGCTCCTCTTGAAAAATGGGAAGATATGGCAATACTGGACCTAAATTCCTCCATGAGAAAACAAGCTGGAGCCGAGTCCTATATTCTCAGGCCTGTTATCTTCCTGGACCTTACATAATGGAATTCCAAATCCAAGCAAGGAAGAGCTTTGCATAACAGAATTGTTAAGTGCTCAGCTAATAACCAAAAGGTTAGCAGTTCAAATCCATTCAGGCACCTCAAAAGAAAGGCCTGGCAATCCATTTCTGAAAAGGCACAGCCATTGCAAACCCTACAAAGCACATTTCTATTCTGACACACATGGGGTTGCCATAAGTCAGAATCAACAGCAGTGATTTTTTATTTTATTATTTAATCTCTCAAGTTCCTGCTCCCTGGCTCAGAATGGTAATGGAAGGTCCTTCTGGTCAGCAGTCAAATACCTTAGGTACTGCACCACCAGAGCTCCTAATGGAAGGTCCGAATTGCACTTTTGGCTGATGACGATGTGCAGAGACCTGCAGCTCCGAGTCCTAAGCTCTCTGAGCAATTGTGGTTCATTCTTAAAATTCTTAAACCCTTTTTAAAGGTTATACCTCATATTCCCTGGCCAGGACCTGTTCTCAATTTCTTTAGATCAAAATGGGGCTAACAATAACTTGAATGCCAAGAAGGGGGGTAAGGGAAGGAGAGCCTAGCACCCAAAGCAAGTACAATCATCAGCAAATACCTTGCCCAAGCCATTACACTTGAGAACAGCAGCAGGCCAAGAAAGAGTCCAACAGAGAGGCCCAACCTCACATCTTTGGTATGTGAGGTGAAAAGACTTCTCCCTGGTCAGACTCTGACCAGTATTACCCTCAGCCATACACTGAAACCATTGATCTGCATACAGAGAGAGGAGGAAGCTAAGTAAAAAGTGATGCTTGCCAGCTCTGTGTATCCTCCACCACCGGTGTGCTAGAAGAAATCCTTACCCTCGAGTGAACATTTGGAAATTTAGTGATATTATTCTTCTTTAAGGCTAAACAGAAAAAAAAACAAAAACACAAAATGATGGTTAAGTAAAAAATGGGATGAAAATGAAAAGCAACTCAACTTAGTGCTTAATTTTCCCAGGCATGTTAGCCAACAGAGGAAGAGAATGGGAGGCTATTACTGTAAGACGTGTCAGATAAAACAAAGCAAGGATGAAAGGGTCTTTCCCACCTCCCCAGTTCCAAGCTGCTTTAAAGAGTTGCTACAAGAAGACAGTTCATCAGCAAAACTGACAGCAAACATTGGCTGAGCAGATGACAGTTTCTAGCCTGTTAATAAGCACTGGTGGGTAAGTACACTGCAGAGCAGGCAACAACACACCACATCCTTTGATATCTTCAGAAAGGAACATATACAAGTGCAATTCATTCAAAGAACAGTTAATGCCACAAAATTACACCAAGTTCCATGTCAATCTCAGCGCAGTAGTCAAACAATGGTTATTTTCTATTAGAGTATGGCTTTCTTTCCTTTGTCTCTTTTCGCAACTGGGCACTTAAGAGAAGTACGTTTCTAATCTACACTAAGCCTCTTAGGAAAAATGCAATCACTTTTTTTTTTTTTAATCTAAGAAAATTAGCATTTCCCAATGATGGGTATTAGCATTTCTGATGCCACCATCTTGACCAATGAAGCAGGTCAGATATGATTTCCTCACAGAAGAAATAACCTGGGTTTGACATGGAATAGAGCCACCAGTGAAGAAGCATGAATAAATGAATAACAGGGTGGGAGTCCTAAGCCACTGTTTTTCCTTCTGCCTCAAAGCCTTGGTGTAAAATGAAATTGCTGATAGCTGAACTCGGACATGACACTCAGAGGGAAAAGTGACTTCCAGGGCAGGATGTTGTGAGGCTATATCAGCCTATATCATCTATACATACTTCTAGGTCAAAAGGACCCTGTGTTAAGTTTGTTCTGTGAGCTCTATCACACTGCACATGATACTACTGATGGGCTGGATAACACAGTTGAGAAAGGCACAATTTGAAGCTATGCATAGTTTAAAATTCCCTCTGCAAATCATTTTGCAACTGTAGAGCACTTTGCATTCCTAAGCAATTTTGTATAGCAGCTCATTTTACTATCAAAGTATGTTAACTGGGTATAAAAAAAGGGTGGTTTTTATATCAGTAAACCTCTCAGAACACAGTAAGTGTTCAATAAACATTATAGTTGTTATTAATTGCTATCATTTTGTGTTCAAAGATTTTAGCCCAAAAACTTTACAAGCAATCCAGTTGGTCCCAATCTTGATTCTCAAAGAAATGCTCTATTTATAAATTTTTCTGAAAATTTCTGCCAGCATTTCTATTAATTCAACTCTTACACATACCTGGACTATCACAGCCATGTGGATACATATATGTCTTAAGGGTGCCAGTGAGTAAGCAGTAATGATTGAAATGCAAAACCATGCAGCATGAGGACAACACAAATTACAGTATGGAGACGGCAATTCCATGCTGGCATGTTGGGTGGCCCTGACAGACACACAGAGGGATGTAAGAGATCAAAAAACCTACAGCAACCTTTTAAGAGCATCAGGTGAGAAAGAGTAATAGTTTAGTAATGGTATTCCTCAGTGAGAACAGGTTCGCAGAAAAATCGAGAGCCACGCTTGGCAGTACGAGCGGTAAAGGGCACAGTCTTCAGCACTGCATCAAAAATGACAGCCAAACAAGACAAACAGAAGAGAGTAAAATGCCAAGATCTATTGCATTAGTCATGGTTAGTGCTTTGTTAATCATACCTGGGGATAGGGCTGGGGAAGTGAGCTGGAAAGAGGTTGGCAATATATACCCAAGTCAGCTAATAAAGGTCACAAAGAATTACTCAATCTGGAGCTTTATAGTGGGATGGAAAATGGAAAATATTCCAAGGACAATAAAAACTGAAATTTTCCATAATAAAATTTTTAAGTATTATGGAAGCTTATAAATAGCTCAACAGATAGAAAAGTCACCTGCTGCCCTCACAACAAAACAGTCACCCAAGTTATAGTCCTAAAGTATGATAGTCCCAAAACACCTCAGAAATGGTTCAAGCAGAAAGCATTATGCTAGAACTTAATCAGGCAAGAACCAAGCTGGTTTAGGTACCATTCCTACCAGACAGACGGACTGGTTCTCAGTGCTGGGCTACTAGACTACTGGCCCATCAATAAAATCATCAGCCCCCAAATTTTGTACTAGTCTTCAATTACTCTGAGTGAGTAAAGAGGATGCTAACCAGCATTTTGGGAAAACTTGCATGGACTGTTGTCAGTACAAAGGCGAATGGTCCTTATTCATGGTGTTGATTAATCAGGCAAGTGGGTAGGAGTAGCTAAGAAGAGGAAATGGAGCGTGGTGGCAAATCGAAGAAAATGGAAAAATAGCCCTACTGAAACCCACAGGGTTCCAATGATACTGAGGTATAAGGAAGAGCTTGAGACTTTTTGATAAAAAGTGTTGGGGTTCTTTGGTAGGCAGCATACATGCTATTACAAATGTATCTAAACACTAGCATGGAGCCTCTGTACATAATTCTGGATCTGAATAAAGTCAACTGAAGAACTAGCAAACCCTAGACAAAAACAGCTAAAATATCTGCATGTAGCCCAATCAGGGTGAGGCCAGTGGGAACTCCACGGGCCACGTGAGGAAATATCCCTTACCTGTGATAATATCTTCAATGGCACCATCTTTTCCCTCATATACATGTCTGTTATCTTTAACTTGTCGCCTTCTTAACTCTGCAATTAACTCTTGCTGTTGTCTCTTTGATTTATGAGAAGGAGACTGAAAGGAAGGAAGAATGGCAGAGATTAACTGTGCAAGCACCCACAGAGGTTTGAAGAAAATCCAGAATATGTCTGAGCACTGTGTTGCTAATAGACAGCCTCAGCCAAAAACACAAACTGACCCGTCCCAATATTCTGCTCCAATACAGACAAATTCAGAAAGCTTTGGGGAAGAAAACAGACACATCACTGAAGAACACACAAAACTCCAGCTGGCAACAATGGAAAGACATGATCCTATGGCAACAAGGGCAGCTGGTGATAACCATCAGTTGGCCCTCCCATAGCACAGCTGCTGCCTTCATGGAGTCAACCAAGCAGGGACCAAAAATACTCAGAAAAGAAAGGAAAAAAAAAAAGTGGTCAAAGCAATCCCTCAAAGCCTCAGAGGGAAATGAAATGATATTTACATAGCATTTATACTATATTAGGCATTATAAGTAATTCAAAGATGATTTAAAGTACCTATGAGGATGTGAAGAGGGTATGTGCAAATACTATGCTGTTTCATGTAAGGGACTTGAGCATCTACAGATTTTAATATCCGTGGGGATCCTGGAACCAATCCCCCAATGATGTCAAGGGACAACTATACTTCCTAAACTTTAGTGCAAAGGGCCATGATGAAGAATATTTTGACCTGTCCATCTTCATGATCTTTACCTATGATGCTCCCCACCCTGAATGTCCCCTGCCTCTCTTCCTAGCCAAGCCCTCCAACATACAAGACCCAGCAGCACCAATCGGCATTCCCATGGTGCCTTTCCTGAACCCTAAGACCTCCAGTCACCTGAGACCTGGTATAGTCTCTCTGGGTATCCAACTGAGGTTTAAATCCCAGATCTCTATAAGCTTGGAGATTCTACATAAACAAGCTCTAAGCCTCATTCCAGTGGTTGCTGAACAAAGTAATGAATGGACAAATTTTCATAGCCCTGGAAGGATGTGATAAGGATCCCATCCAAATGTGGCTTTTGCCAGTCCCGCTGCTGCTTGCCCTCAGAGGCTGGGAGGGCGGGAGGGCCTGTCTCAGGTTTGGCCCATCTCACCTTCGGATCCTGCTGCTCCGTCAGAGCTTCTCGCTCCAGGAGTTTTTCCATGAGAGCTTGTTCCTGCTTTCTCCTCAGCTCGTTTTCTTCTTCTGCTTGCTGGTTAAAAGAAACAAAAACTATGCCAATGGAAACGACATCCATTTAGATTTTAAAAAGTCTTTCTTAAAGAACTCGTACTGAGCCAGACGTCAGAATTGGAGGTTTAGAATACCTGTACTTCATGCCTGCAATCTAATGCTAATTCCATGTTTCACACTCTGGTGGTCAGAAATTCCTCTTATCCATATGTCTTTTCCCGACGATATCCCTGCTCAGACTGCTCCAGAATCTCAGATTTAGTCCTGCAGATTTAGCATGGACTTACCCTTTTGGCAGCTGTGCTCAGTGACGTGTGAGTTTGTTTTGCTTCCAGAATCTACCTACCCATCTATCACTTCTCTGAAAACAGGATCTAAGATTCCTCTGCCTTCTGTCCACTTTTAGGGGAAAACACCATTCCCTTGGCTTCTTGTTTCCTTTGGGGGCCTCACTGGAGTAATATTCTTGACTTCTCTCTCCACAGCTCACTCCTTCCCAAGGGAGGCAGAGGGACTAGTCTAATAAATTTGGGAAAGGAAACAGAACAGGCTCACCTCAGCCCAGCCCTCTTGGGTATTCTACAAGCCATTCCTCTAAAGAGACTTCTAATTGTTCAGCTTTGAATTGATAGACCAGTCACTTGTCTAATTTGGGGGCAAAGTATAAGCTCACAGATCCACGTTTATACCATACTCTGTAACCCAGCTTTCATCAGTAATAACATTTACATTTTGATCATTGTTACTTTTGTCTTATGTTTCCTAAAACCCCACCATCTGCCCACACAGCCGATAGTTATGTGCCAGGCAGGGAGGTTATTTGTGATATCTAAAGCAAGTAAAACATCCCCAAAGTGTCATTGCTAGACAACTGTCTCACTAAGCTAACAAGACCACAGGGGGCAATCATAACCTATGATACCATACCCCACAGGTCACAAAGGGCAGCTTCTCTTGCTCCTCTGCTCTATGCATGTGCCTGCTGAAGTGTCAGGCTTTGACACCAGCCAGAGGCACTTCCCAGCTTGTCTTACACCATTTTAAAATGACATATATTTTCTCATTAGGCCTTAGACTTATATATTTCTCATGTGAAGAAATGTGGTCATAGTATATAACAAGAACCACCTGAGCCATCTTTGTGGCAGGCTAGCGCCACCCAGACAATAAACTCCAGGGCGCTAGTCATGTGTGGTAACCAATGACCTTCTTGCTGCTCTGGTTCCCAATGTCTTGCACATGGATTTGTGCTATGTCTGTGTTCATACTCATTGCTGAGGCCACTTTCCTTCTCTAACAGCTTATGATATCATTGCTACACTAATCCATGCAGAAAGAAGATGGCTACACATCTTAACTTTTTGAGTTTCATCAAAAGGCCCAAGGATGATACTCTAAAATCTCCAGAGGTGCTGGGAAAGTGACCTGCTATTTCCAGTATGATGCTTCTCAAACATAGATGATCCTGGCACATCCCTTCCTCCCCTGTGCAGTAAACACTCATTCCTCTACTTACTTTATGAATGTTATATGTAGAAAAGGCCAGATAATATTGATTGCAATGCCTTTTAAGTGGTCCAAAATCTTCCAACAACATCATTTTTCCCTGAGGGACAAATTCTTCTGACACATGCTTCTTGGGCCCAGTGTTTTTTTAAGATCATAACCCTATGCATGCCAAAGAGGGCATCCCATTTAAAGGAAGGGCCAGTATTGGTCCAGGTAAAGAAATATCAGAGAAAGACCATACTTAATAGCACCAATGGAAAAATTTTCAGTCTGAAAACTGGAGCCAGAACTAACATAAGGAGGTTCTGCCTGATCTCAGCTCTAGCACATGTACTTTTGACCCAGGCCATACTTTTCATTTCTTTCTTTCACTGTATATTCATTAACCAATAGAAAATGCCATGGGAGTCCTAGAGTTTTGTAAACCCTTTACCTCATCTGCAAGGGTGAACTGTCAGCGGGGCAACAGTGGTACTGGAGTGTCCCATTTGCCCCAGATGAATTCTCCCAAGGGTGCAACCATGAGCTTTTGTTTTCTGGCTGAGCCCAGATTGCCTTGGGGAGGGCAGACCCAGCACGCACTAAGGGCATGAGACACTCTCAGCCTTCCAAGGAGACTGCCATCTTTCACTGACCACCCAAATCTGCTGCCCAAAGGAACAAAGGAGATCTGTGAAGCAACTGAGACTCAGACCTGTCTCACAGAGGATGCGTGCTTGAGAAGTAAGGGAAAGGTGGGCTTTAAGGTCTACAGTATTCCAAGTTACCTTATAGGCTTTCACAAACCGAACAAAGACTGGAAAGAAGACAGAGGGTGGTGTCGTCTTGGGGTTTTCTCCAAAATACTTCACAACATCATCAAAGGCATCCTATGAAAAAGCAAATTTCTCATGAATTTCATTGATTCCAGCATTTGAACTTGATGCCATGGGGGAAAAGCTGAAGCAGTGGAGGAGAGCAAGGCAGCTGTGAGGAGACAGGGGCTCCTACAGCACTCTCAGCCCTACAGCCAGTCTCCTATTGATGCCACATTTCCTCCAAATGCTTCAACAAAGGCAACCAGGAGAATGCAACAGTAAAACACAGGAATTCATTTCTGAGAACTCCTGCCATGTCTACATACACACAGACACACTGCACACACACAGAGATACCATTCTATTCAAGAGTTTCCTAAACCCTTAAAACCTACAAGGTTAAAGAAACCTCACATAAGCCACTCTGACTCCAAATCCCAACACCTTGTTTCCAAGTTCCTTACAGATTTCCCACACAGAGGACATTCAGTCTCTGTCTGCTTGAACCTTTTGTAATGTAAAGCAGTCTTGTGGGAAGGCCTTTCTGAGTCAGCTTTATGAGTCTCCTCCACACTTTGCTTCCCATTTTATGATAATGTATAGTTCACTCTGCACTGTTTTGTAGGTCTGCTTATGTATCAGTAATCTCAAGTATATTGTAAGATTTTTAGATCAAGGTCCACAAATACCCTATACACCTGGAACCCACTTTGCTAAGCACAGGACTGATACTTGTTGGTTTAAGTGAATGCAGGACTCATGCAGGAAGGAGCCTAGGAGTAAAGTCAGCAGGACAGGAAGGGACTCTAGAGAAAAGGATACCCACTGACACCAAGTTGATTCAGACTCGTAGTGACCCCCAGGGGGTTTCCAAGGCAGTAAATCATTATGCAAGTAGATTGCCTGGTCTTCCTTCTGTGGGGTGGCTGGTGGGTTTGAACCACCAACCTTCTCGTTAGCACTCAAATGCCTTAGGCACTATGCCACTAGAGCTCCTAGAGAAGAGGGTAAAAATCCCAAAATAGAAAAGGACATGAGCATGACAGGGGCTTCCAAGGACAACATTCAGAAAGATCCCCTTACCTCCCATAATAATCACTGGCTACATAACAAATCTACCCGCAGCAAACTGGGCAACGGAATGTTCTCCCCCAACCAGGGCTTGCACTCCACGTAGCTCTAGGGATCCCATCGCTCCACCTTTGTGGGTGTCCAGGGACACCAATACTGACCTGTGCAATCTTGGCATCATCCTGCAGCTTCTTCAGCTTCCCTTCATTGTTGAGGATGAACTCCTTCAGCAGTGTGTTGTGGTCATGCATGGTGTACTCCCTTTTGGTTAGGTCCATGCCCCTCTGGAGCTCCTTGACATCCAATAAAACATTTTCAAGGGAAACTGAAGTAGAGAAGAAACGGCCCAGTGAACACAACCAGGAAAGTCAAAACCATAGCCAGTCTGGTTGGTAAGCCAAGTTCTAAATGGATTCTTAAGAGACTCAGGGGTCCATATCTAGTTTCTGACTTTTGGAGCAGAAATCATTCAGTGTGAATAATTAATGAGTGCTCACCATCAAGTCTGCATTAAGTTTACATACACTAATTCATCAGCCCATTTTGCCAACAAGTAATAGAATCATAAAGAGAGTACATAGTGCTATGGATTAGATTGTGTGCCTCAAAACGATATGCTGAAATCCTAACCCTTGGTACATGAACATGACCTTGTTTGGAAAGAGGATCTCTGAAGATGTTACCAGTTAACGTGAGATCACACTAGAATAGGGTGGGTCCTAATTGCTTATAAGTGGTGTCCTTATAAAAGAGACACAAAGATAGAGGGAAGATGGCCATGTGAAGATAGAGACAGAGATGGAGTTACGCTGCAGCTGCAACCCAATGAACATCTGAGGTTACCACAAGTGGGAGAAACAAGAAAAGATCTATCCCTAGTGCCTTTGAGAGAACACGGCCCAGCTGACACTCTGAAGTCAGAACACCTAGCCTACAGAGTACTATCAAAGAACACATTTCATTTTTTCTGAGCTACCCAATTTGTGATGCTTTAGTATGGCAGCCCCAGAAAACTAATACAGGTGGCCTGCCCCAGAAGGTGGCAAAGGAGGAGTACAGATAACAAGTGTGGACTCCAACTTGTGTGCTTATACATGTATACTGCATTCCTCTTACAAAAGACAGCCTATCAGTGACCTGAGGTTGCTTAACTCTGATAGGTCCAAAACAGTAATTCTCTATGTAACACCAGGAAGTATGTGCCTTTCTATACTTTTTTGCATTTCTGGTACTCTCCAGCAGGGGGCAGCATTTTGTCAGTTGAACTTCAGATGCATTAACCATTAGGATTGGCAACAACCTTGGACAGCTTCTCTTTTTGTTTCCTTGCTTCAGAATGAATGGTTCATCATGAGCCTTTCCATCTGCAGCGTAGCTACTCCAACCTAGATCAGGACACTCCTTGAGTATCCTGAGCCAGCCACCCCATGAAGGTCAGGCCTTATCTCTGGCTCCTGGTTGCCTGACACAAGGATGAATTTAAAAACAATGTGCTCTGTTTTCCCCTCACAAGACTCATGATGTATTATACACTTTGACTCTCAATGCTTACAACAATGCCAAGTACATAGCAGCCATTTACATGATGCTCAATGAAAGAGAGGGAGTGAGCAAACAGCCAAGGGAACAAAGATGAAGAAGTAAATGAAGGAAGGTATGAAGAATCTGTGTCACCACCCAAGAGAGCAAACATGGAAAGAACAGTTCAGTCAGAGACTGCCCAGTCTTTCTAACTTCCCCATTCATTTTTTTCAAATGATACTTCTAGGTATCTAATTTGGGTCATATCAAATGTGTTTCTAATTAGTAACATGAAATTTTGTTTTCAACATTTTTCCCTAATTAGAATTTGCTGTTAAAGAACTCGAAATCTAGGCAAAAGGAAACTTAAGAGGAGGAAAACCATTCCATCAGAACAGATCTGGTAACTGCTTAAGCAAGCACTGACCCCTCGGCAGGTCTGTCTCAGCCTGCTCAGGGTTAGCAGCAGTCGAGAAATCATCTCCACTAGGGCTTCAGCATCATCTGTCCCGATAACAGTGTGTCATCTCACTCTTTCAATGATTCCCATCATCCATTTTGTCAGAGGCTATGAGAATGTACAGTAAAACCCGATTATACCCTTCAGAAGTACTTAAGTTGAAAGGGACGTGCAAACCGTGATAATAAGATCTAATAAACTATTTACTAGAGGGTAGTAAAGAGTGCTTCAGTGAAAACAGCGAAGCTTCAGCATTCTTCTGAATGAAATTGGAGAAACTCTTGCCCTCAAAGATTCAATATGTATCTTTAAGATAGGCCTCAGGAATCTGAATTTATAATAAACACCCTGGCTGCTTATGGTTCAAGAAAGCAATTTGAGAATCACTGCCTGCAACTAACTCCCAGATCAGTGTTGCATGTCCTTTTTTCTATCCTAATATTGTTTTAAGCGAATGTGGTACTGTGGACGATACATACATATACGAGAAGTAGGAAGACCTGGGACACGGACATGTTTCTATACTGTTCTATCAAGATCACCTTGGCCAAGACATTTAACCTTAAAAAATGTCAGTTTTCGCATATATACAATGGGGTACTATCACCTTGTATACCCAGCTATCTGAGTCACTGATGAGTTAAAATGAACCATACATAACTGTCATAGCAAAGTAGCAACCAACAAGTACTGATAATTTAACTTATACTCAGGCTAAAGGCAAAATATTTAGAACAGCCACACTTGAGTAAGCTGATAGTACAAAATCAAAGCGTTCACTGGGAGTGATTCTCTGATTCACATTCTCAAATTTCAAATGGCAGCAAAAGAATAAAAAGGACAAGAATTAAGAGGGAAGGTACACAAGGTCCCAAAACTGAGATCTTTCCAGGGGACACAGAGAAGACACCTCCATGTCCGTGTTTGCTATTGCTCTCAAGAGTGGACAACACCATCGCCATGTTTCAGTTCAGAGTATCTGACTTATTAAGGCCTTGCCTTTTTTAAAAAGGTTCTGGAGAGAGGTTTAAGCAGGGAATTTTCCCCCACAATTAAGGCATTAAATAACATTAATTGCTGAAATCAAGTACCTGCAGCAGCTTTCTCCACATAATGAAGCTCATTATAAAACAGGGACACTTGGTGGTATTTCTCTTTCACAACATTGGATATGTAGTGCAACAGTGTTTGCTTTCGGTCTGTTGACTTTGTATCTAGAAGCTGAAGACAAAAGGCAACATGGTTTGGGTGCAAGAATAAAGGATGATAGGAGTGTTACCCATCAAATGATGTTTTCCTACCGAGAGTGAAGAAGAGATTCAAGATTCAATCTGTCCTTAGCTGAACCAGCGCACTGATTTTTTTTTCCCCCCATTGGGATTTGGGTAAAACTTTACAGTGCAAATTCATTTTCCATCCAACAGTTCATACATATTTTGTTTCATGACATTGATTGCATTCCCCATAATGCAATAGCTCTCTTCCCACTTCCGCCCTGTGGTTATCTTTTCCCTGTGTCCTTTCCTATGCAGTCCTGCCCTCTGACCTTCTCCTTGTGCAAATGCTGCCCTTTTGCTCTCCTATCATTGACTGTTCTAAGGAGTGTACCCACCTGATGTAAACTGTTCACTTTATATGCCTATCTATTGTTTGGCTGGAAGCCCTAGGAGTGAGTTCAATTCCAGACCCAAAGTGTGAGTAGGGGTGATAGTCCTGGAGGCTTCAGCAGTCTCTGTTAGACCAGTAAGTCTGGTCTTTTTCATGATTTTAAGTTTTGTTTCACATTTTTCTCCAACTTTACCCAAGCTCTCCTATTCTCTCCTATTCTGATCCCTATCTGCATGGCTGGCAGGCACCATCTAGTCTCAGGTCTTCTGGTTCTCATGGTCCACTAGTCCTTTGGACTAATTGTTTACATGTGTCTGTGATTTTCTTCTTTCTTCTTTGCTCTGGGCAAGGAGAGACCAATTGTTGCATCTTAGAGGGCCAGGTGCAAGCCCTTAAGACCCTAGTCACTACTCTCCTAGGTAGGACATAGAGCAATGCTTTTGCATAGTATGTTATGCCAGTTGAACTTAATGTCCCCCACGACCATGATCCCCAGCCTGTGTGTCCAACGAATCACTCCCTCAAGGTGTTTGGCTGTAACTAAGAAGTTATCGGGAGCTCTGGTAGCACAGTGCCTAAGGCATTTGACTGCTAACCAGAAGGCTGGAGGTTCAAATCCACCAGCCACTCCTTGGAAAGAAGATTGGGCAATCTACTTCTGTAGTGATACTGTCTCGGAAACCCAAGGAGGGGTTGCTATGAGTCAGGTCCGACTCGATGGCACATAACAACAACAACAAGTTATCGTAACTTTGCCCCTTGTTAGCTCTATTATATATATGGACATTCTTATAGTACAAATACTATATAGAAATATTGTCTGCCAGACTTATATATGGTCATGGATCTATTTGCTTTTGCCTACCTGATCATTTAACCTGTTTACCTGTGTATCCATCCATAGATTCATGTTTATTATGCTGATAATGCAGTACTGTGCATGTAAAAATGTTTACTGCTGTGGTCTATACCCCTTGTGCACCTCTCTGCGTCATCCTTTTCCTTAGTGTTATCGCGCTGGTCACCTGCTTTTGGTATACTGTCTTTCATTTACCAAAATCAATACATGTTTCTTGCTTATCTAGCAATTTTCCCTTCTTATCCCTCCCCACCGATCCATGGTAAACAACCAACAAAGTTTCCTGACATGTGTAAACCATTCCTTGACTTTTTATAATAGTGGACTCATATAATATTTATCCCTCTGTGATAGACTTATTTCACTCAGCATAATGACCTCCAAGTTCATCCATGTTAAAAGGTGTTTCAAGGATTGTTCATTATTCTTTAACGTTGCATGGTATTCCATTGTGTATATTTAGCATGGTTTGGTTATCCATTCATCTGTTGATGGACACTTAGGTTGTTTCCATCTCTTTGTTATTGTAAATATTGCTGCAATGAACATGGATGTGCATATACCTATTCATGTCCTGATTCTCTCTCTTCAGGACATATACCTAGTGATGAGATTGCTGGATCAAATGGTATTTCTATTTCTACCTTTTTAAGGAAGCACCATACTGTTTTTCACAGTGGTTGCATCATTTTATAGTCCCACCAGCACTGTATGAGAGTCCCAATCTCTCCACATTCTTTTTTTATTTTATTTTACATTCAACATTACATATACATTTAGTTTCACTCCCCATTCACCATGTCCAACCCCAACCCAGTCTCCCCCACTCCCTACCCTATAACCCTCCCCCTGTGCCCCTCATATTTATGCACTCCCGTTTGTCCTGCACAACCTCAATTTGAATGTTGGTCCTCTGGTGCCCCGTGGTCTATTGCTCTAAGGGATGTATAACCATAGAGTATGTGGGTGCATCATCTTGGGTTGAGTGATCTGCGTGTACATCTTGTTAACTATTGGGCTGAGAGCCAGCCCCTGGGGCTGCATTTTATTCCAGGCACAGAATGTATTCCAGGGCCATAGTATTGGAGGCCTAACCAGATTGCAACTGACCAGTAATTCTGGTCATTATTGAGTTTTTGGATTTTGTTCCACATTTTCCCTCCCACTCTATCCAGGATCTCCAGATTTGATCCTTCTCTGAGTAGTTGGCATTAGTAGTGAGGCACCATCTAGTTCTTCTGGTCTTGAGGGCCATCGTGTCCTAGGGCTGATGGCTTCCAAATGCCCTTGTTTTTTTCCACTCTTCTTCACTTCTGATGCTAGGAGACCATTAGCTGCATCTTAGATGGCCACTTGAAAGCTTTTAAGACCCCAGTCACTACTCACCAATGTAGGATGTGGGACAAGGCTTTTATGTATTTTGTTGTGCCAATTGAGTCAGGTGTCCCCCAATACTATGGTCCTGAGATGGTAGATCTATTGGATCTCTCTCCCATAGAGTCTGGTTGCCTGTGAGAGATTACTCTGTGTCTATCTTCTACTGTTTCTGTAAGGACTACAGGTATTTTGTATTACTGGTGTCTGTGCAAGATTAGCTTCAGCTGAATCTATCCTTGGTCTAGAGTACATTTCTGTTCACTGGCCCCCATCTGATTGTCTCAGGTGTTTATGTGTTTATCTGCAGCCTGGTATTTGGTGTTAATGACAATGCAGTATTGTGGACACATTGATTGGTATTAACATCTGTCATCTATCTCTTATGTGCACAATTCGGTGTCCTCCCACTTGTAATGTTATCATAGTGGTCATAGATCCTTTCTGTATATCTCTCACCCTACCCGCGTCAGTGCGTGGGCCACAACTAGCCCAAAATTAATCCCTCCTCTTCCCTCCCCATCCCAGTAACCTACAAAGTGAGTTCCCTTTCCCAAGCAAACCCTTCTTTGTCTTTTTACAGTAATGGGCTCATATAGTACTTGTCTTTCCGCGATTGACTTAATTCACTCAGCATAATGTCCTCAAGGTTCATCCATGTTGTGAGATGATTTGTGTATCCCTCATTGTTTTTAATATAGCATAGTATTCCACTGTGTGCATGTACCATAATTTGGTTATCCACTCATCTGTTGATGGGCATTTAGGTTGTTTCCATCTCTTTGCTATGGTGAATTGCGCTGTGATGAACATAGGTGTACTTATGTCTGTTCATGTGCTATCTCTCACCTCTTTAGGATATATTCCTAGTAATGGAATTTCTGGGTCAAATGGTACTTCTATTTTCAGTTTTTTAAGGAACACCATACCATCTGCCACAATGGTTGTATCATTTTACTACCCCACCAGCAGTGCACAAGAGTTCCAATCTCTCCGCAACCTTGCCAGCATTTGTTATTTTCTGACCTGTTGAACTTTGCTATTATTGCTGGGGTGAGATGATATCTCATTGTTGTTTTGATTTGCATCTCTCTAATGATGAATGAGGAGCTCTGGTAGCATAGTGCCTAAGGCACTTGACTGCTAACCAGAAGGCTGGCGGTTCAAACCCACCAGCCACTCCTCGGAAGGAAGGTTGGGCAATCCTACTTCCGTAGTGATACTGCCTCGGAAACCCAAGGAGGGGTCGCTATGAGTCGGGGCTTACTCGATGGCAAATAACAACAACAACAACAATGATGAATGATTGTGAGCAATTTCTCATGTGTTTGTTAGCTGCTTGTATATCTTCTTTGGTGAAGTATCTGTCCAAGTCTTTTGCCCATTTGTGAGTTGAGTTATTTGTATTTTTGGCGTTAAGGTGTTGAAGATTTCTATAGATTTTGGAGATAAGTCCTTTATCAGATATATCATAGGCAAATATTTTCTCCCAATCTGCAGGTTCTCTTTTTACCCTTTTGATGAAGAATTTCAATGCACATAAGAATTTAATTTTTAAAAGGTCCCAGTCATCTAGCTTCTCTTCTACCTCCTGCACTATGCTTGATAGTCTATTTATGCCATAAATTAGGGGTCCCAGATTTACCCCTATTTTATCTTTGATGAATTTTATAGTTTTGGGTTTTACATTTAAGTCTTTGATCCAGCTTGAGTTGGTTTCTGTGTATGGGGTGAGGTATGGGTCTTGTTTCGTTTTTCTGCAGGTGGATATCCAGTTTTGCCAGCACTACTTGTTAAAGAGGCTGTCTCTTCCCCTTTAATGGGTTTTGGACCTTTGTCAAAGATCAGTTGTCCATAGATGGATGGGTCTATATCTGGACTTCCAATTCTGTTCCATTGGTCTATCTGTCTATCATTGTACTGGTACCATGCTATTTTGACTACTATGGCTGTACAGTAGTTCTTAAGATCTAAGAGTGTGAGACCTCCCACTTTGTTGTTGTTCTTCAGAAGTGCTCTGCTTATCTGAGGTCTCTTTCCTTTCCATATGAAATTAGTAATTGGTTTTTCCATGTCCTTAAAAAAATTTGTTGGAATCTGGATCGGGATTGCGTTAAATGTGTAGATTGCTTTAGGTAGTATCGACATTTTCACAATATTCAGTCTACCTATCCATGAACAAGGTAGGTTCTTCCATTTATGTAGTGCCCTCGTCATCTCTTGTAGCAGTGTTTTACAGTTTTCTTTGTATAGGTCTTTTGTGTCTCTGGTGAGGTTTATTCCTAGATATTTTTATTTTTTTAGTAGCTATTGTAAATGGTATTGCTTCCCTTATTTCTTTATCAGAGGACTCTTTGTTGGTGTAGAAGAATCCAACTGATTGTTCTATGTTGACCTTGTATCCTGCC